TGGCAGTAGACGCACTAGCACCTAGAGCGTCGGAAGACTCACGCGCACCGAGAGCTGCAGCAGACTCACTAGCACCTGGAGCGGCAGCAGACTCACTAGAACCGAGAGCAGCAGCCTCTACACACCCAGGGATGCCTCGCTGAGAAACACAGTCGCGGCGCCGCTGCGGGGAGACGGTCTCCTGCTGACGCCGCTGCCGCCGCTGTCCAGTATACATAAAACCAAAACCTCCACCACCAGGACGGCCCCGCTGAATAACCCACTCACGAAGCTGCTGAGGGGTGGGGTTGTCCGGGAGAGGCAGTGACTGCTGCTGTCCACCCCTAGCCGCTGCAACTACCGTGATAGTGGCCATGACAGGCAGTGACGGTCAGTAGCAGGTCTAGCACCTCCAGCACCAACAGCACCTCCAGCACTCCCAGCAGCACCTCCACCAGCAGCAGCAGTAGCAATAGTAGCAGGAGGGCGGCTCGGTGGGGCTGGCGAATGAGGCAGGGCGGCGCGACTCGGGTTGAGCAGCGCGGCTCGGGCTGGGCGGCGCGGCTCGGCAGGGCAGGGCGCGCCTCGGGCTGCAGGGCAGCGGGGCGTGCGCTAGACAGGGCAGCAGGGCGCGTGCTGGGCAGGGCAGTAGGGCGCGACGCGCTGGGCTGCAGCAGGGCGCGACGCGCGGGCTGCAGCAGGGTGCGGCGCGCGGGCTGCAGGGCGCAACGCGCGGGCTGCAGTAGGGCGCGACGCGCGGGGCAGCAGGGCGCGACGCGCGGGCTGCAGCAGGGCGCGACGCGCGGGGCAGCAGGGCGCGACGCGCGGGCTGCAGCAGGGCGCGACGCGCGGGCTGCAGCAGGGCGCGACTCGCGGGCTGCAGCAGGGTGCGACGCGCGGGCTGCAGGGCGCGACGCGCGGGCTGCAGCAGGGCGCGACGCGCAGGGCTGCAGGACAGGGCGGTGCGCGGGCCTAAGGGCAGGGCAGCGCGGCTCGCGAGCTGCAGGGCAGGGCGGCGCGCAGGCCTAAGGGCAGGGCAGCGCGATGCACGGGTTGCAGGGCAGCTGGGCGCGGGCTGCAGGGCAGGGCGGCGCGCGCTGGGCAGGGCAGCAGGGCGCGACTCGCAGGCAGCAGCAGGGCGCGACGCGCGGGCTGCAGCAGGGGAGCGCGCTAGGGCAGGCAGTGCGAGTAGCTGCAGGGCAGCTCGACACTGTGCGAGCAGGGCCGGACAGCGCAGGGGGGCTTTGGGCAGGAACTAGCGGAGGGCCCTAAAAACCTAACAGGTTTCCTGCTCTGATACCATGTCAGAATCAATTGTGCAGGAATGAATGAACTATGAATGAGTTGGGTAACCCTAAAGTGTTGTACCCCTTGTAGGCTAACCTACTATAGCCTAGAGAGAACACAAACATATAGTTTGACATTATATAGCGGCTCAACCTAGCTAGGCGGGAACCTCGCGAACACGAGGTTGTGCAGGTTGGGCAAAGGAAAACCGAAGGCGACGCGAGGTTGCTTCGGCAGCAAGTAGTAAACCGGCCGAATGTGCACTTCCGAAAGTCGGGGTTGTATGCGAAACAAATAAACCCCAGTATGGAAAATGGGTTTTCCTTACACTACCCCCTCCCTTAAGAAAGGTGGTCAACATCCGCGACACGCTTCCGGGCAGGGCTCTCGATATCAGGGTAAAATGCCCTTTTTGCCCTTTCTGGCGGCCGATTTTTTTCAGTTACCCTTTCCGAGGAAGGGTAATGAGATTTTTACCCTAGGCCAGAAAGTCTAAGGTTTATTTTACCCTTCGAAAACCAGCGTAAAGAGTTTATTTCTTCGACTGTACAAGGTACGATCACAATTATACAGAAACTGGATGTTTCGTTGCGAGACGAAACACTCTACGAGCCCCTGCAAAACACTCTCAACAGCGAGAATCAAACATGCGACCTTACAGATCCAAGACGCAATCGTACCAGCTGAGCCACTAAGTGTTGACCTGGAATACTTTTAGCTTTTATCTATAGATAACAAAAGTTTACCAAAAGAGTTACCCTGCCCAGAGAGACTAATAGTTTTTTTACCCTGGATTTGTCAGGGAACGAAAAAAATTACCCTATGAATCAGGGTTGGGACTACCAATCAAGAGCCCTGTTTCCGGGCGAGGTAATCTCGAAGTAGCGAAGGTGTTTCAAGCGAGACGGATGGCACCCAAGTGTCGTCCTCACTGGTGCGGTCAGTCCAACAAACAAGAAAATCCACGTGGCGTCTGGAGGCATCAAGCCGAACACGATGCGCGAGAATTTTTTATGGGTCCAGCGTCGGTTCCGGGATAGGACGAGTGTTAGAATTCTATGTATAGCATGCTAAGTGTAAAGGGGTGGGGCTACACCCAACTTTGGGTGTAGCTTGCTTTGTAGGCCTACACCCCACATTGGGGTGTAGTCTTGCAAGTTGGGGTGCCAATCCAACCCATAAGTGTTGGAGCCCCCAAGTGCAAGTTGGGTACCCCCTCTTTGCAACCCACAAGTTGGGGGTCCCCTCCTTGCAACCCACATGGTCCTTGTTGCAAGTTGGGTGCCCCCTCCTTGCAATTTGGCATAGGGACTTGCCAACCACCCAACTCCCCCCTTCCCTTCCAAGCTCCTCTTCCATCCAATCTCACCACTCTATGTATGCACACTTGTGACCTAATCTAAACATTGGTTAAGTTTACAACTTTCACATGGTATAGAGCTGAAATTTTCCTTGGCCTTACCTCTCCCCCCTCCAGTTTATTCCTTCCATGGGCCCACCCTACAGTGACAAACCCTTTACTATCGTGGCTCTACTAGCCACTGTTCGCACACTTCACGCCGCGACCCTCGCGTCGTCGCCTTCCCTCCCCACGGCCGCATTTTGAGCCGTCGCCGCTCTCCCTCTCTCCCGCTGCGACCTAAGTTGTCGCCGCCGCTCGTCCTTCCCGCCGCGACCTAATTCGTCGCCGCCATCCACTCTCCCCGCCACGATTGCGCCTTCCCCGCCCGCGGATTCCACCGCCGCGACCGCATCGCCGCCTGCGAAGTGGGTATGCACCTGCGCTACAATCACCAGCGGTTGCAACACTGGCAGACCGCTCTGCTGCAGCGTTTGCAAGCCGCCTTTGTGCAGCGTTGGCAAGCCGCCGACTTGCTCTGTTGGCAGGCCGGCTTTCTGCAACGCTGGCGCGATGCCTCTACGCAACACTGGCAGAGTGCCGACCTTGCTGCGCTGGCGGTCGACCTGCCTATCTGCTAGGTTTCTTTCTTCTGATGTGGTCGGTTTTGCCATTGCTTTTCCATTCTTTCTGTAATCCAAATTTTGCTAGTGAAACTCTTGCCAATCTGCTCTGTGAGCCAACAAGTAGTGAACACACAAGCAAAGCTACGATCACTCAAGCCACCTGTGTATTCACTCATAGTTCAGCTCCCACCGTTGTAGAGTGACTCTCCTCATGGTGCGGTGAGCGTGGATCAAACACGCGACCTTCAGATAGTAGCCAACTTATGCACTACCTAAGTCGTTCGTAGCCAGTGCAGACCATGACGCCTACCCTGGGAGAGCCCGCGCCTGTAGAGGAGAGTATGGAGGCACGGTTAGTAGATGCTAGGAGACGCCACATGGCTGGCGAGTTCGGAACGGTCGCTTTGGAGGTGGTCCTCATTGGCACTCGTGTGCAGTAGGCGCGTAAGCATCCGACTCCCCGTGCTGGAGCGACCAGGGTGCCCGTTTCTCCCCTACCGGCATGTGACGCAGACGACGTCGACCTGGAGGTGGACGGTGGTTTTTTAAGTTGGCAGCAACGAGGGCACGAGGATTACGAGAGGAGTGATCAGGGATGCCGACGTCAAAGTCGGCGGAATGCATGCACGAGGGCTGCGGTCGACGGCAGCCGCTGGCAGCTCGAACGGAGACATCGCTGGACAACGTCGCTCTTCGCAGTGAAGTAGTGGGAGGCCAATGTCGGCGACCCGATCGCTCCGGCGTACGGGTACTTCAAATTTTCGCCGGACGGGATCACAGTGCACGTTCTGCTACAATCACCAGCGGTTGCAACGCTGGCAGACCGCTCTGCAGCAGCATTGGCAAGCCGCCTTGGTGGAGCATTGGCAAGCCAGTGACTTGCTCTGTTGGCAGGTCGCCTTTCTCAACCCTGGCGCGGTGCCTCTACGCACCGCTGGCAGAGTACCGAACTTGCTGCGCTGGCGGTCGACCTGCATGTCTGCTAGGTTGTTTGCTTCTGATGTAGTCCGTTTTGCCATTGCTTTTCCATTCTTTTTGTAATCCAACTTTGCTAGTGAAACTCTTCCCAATCTGCTTTGTAAACCATCAAGTAGTGAACACACAAGCAAAGCTACGATCACTCAAGCCACATGTGCATTTACTCGTAGTTCAGCTCCCATTGTTGTAGAGTGACTGTCCTCACCTCCCACACTACCCCCTCTTCCTCTTTCACCTGCACCTCCATGCACCATTTGCATTCATGGCAAACTCAAACAAATCCCCCATCCTTCGTAGCTGACCCCTTAGACCTCGTCCACGTGGACCTACGGGGGACCTCTCCCACAGCTACCCGACAGGGGCATCGTTACTTCCTCGTTCTCGTCGACGAACATAGTCGGTTTTCCTCCTCCATTCCAAAGACGAAACCTCCTCCTTCATCATTGCCTGAGCTGACCAGGCACGCACTCACTTCTGATGCCCTGTATGGCGGTTCCGCTCTAACGGAGGCGGCGAAATTCTAAACCGACGGCTTGCCCTCCCCCTCCCTACCAGAAAATGACTCTTAAGAATCGGTGCTAGCTGACAGAGACAGCTCACAATGACGTCGGCATGCACATCACAGCAGCAACTCAACATCTTTTGAGGTAGGCAAGTTACCTGTCATAGTTGTAGTCACTGTCGATCATTGTCACAGTCAGAGACAGTCACAGTCATTGTCACTCACTGTCACTGCCACGGTGTCTTTCAACCACGTCCCTCTCTCCCTCTCTCCCTGTCTCTACCAGCTCATGGCCTCCCTAGTAGTTTACACCTTCTCCTTGTGTGTCGGTCCGCCCTGCTCTCTGTGCATCTCACGCGCACATCAGATGGAGGGCATGGCAGCGCAGGTGAGGAGGAAGGAGCACGAGGAGGAGGAGCGCGAGCGCGCGCACCAGCAGCAGCACCAGCAGTGGGAGCAGCGGTGGCGCCAGGCAGAGGAGAGGCGCAGGAGGGCGGAGGAGTGTGCGGAGCGGGCGGAGAGTGGGGCAGCTAAGGTAACGAGGAGACGGGAGGAGGCAGAGAGGGGGATGTAAGGTGCAATGAAGCGACCGCAGGACCATGGGTAAAAAAAAAAGAGTCGATGTGAGCATGCGGGTCTTTTTTCCACCATCTTCCTCTGTTACACCCCACCTGGTTGTGTGCTATGCAGCTGAGCCCAATCTTGTAAACCGCCTCCAACTTACCCTCCTCCCCCTACATCTCCCCACCTCTTTTCCACCCCCAACCCTGCATGTGTGCAGGAACAGCGGGAGACAACGCCGGGGGCAGGGGAGAGGGAGGGAATCGTGGAGCATGCGAGGGCAGAGGCAACAGCAGCCCGGCATGCGGCACGTGAGGCACAAGACGGAGCTCTTAGGCGCATTCGGGAGATGGAGAGGGCATGCAGGGGGCAAGGAGCAGAGGGTGACTACAAGGGGGAGGAGAGGGCAAGGGGAGTCATAGGAGCAAGGAGCAGCAACAGCAGGATCAGCAGCAAGAAAGGGAACATATGCTGGTAAGTTGATGGGACCAAACCCCTCCAAATGAAAAACCTTTCTCTCCTTCCATGCCCATCCGGTGGCTTGAGCTCTTCCTGCTCTTGCTTCATCCGAAGTTGCGCCCCACTCCCCCCCTTTACTTGGTGCCCCCCTTCCACCCGTCCTCCTAGGCTACGCCCCTCCCAGCATTAGAAGCCCCTCCAAGCACAACCATAGCAGCGTCGCATGCCCCCTCGTCTCCACCCTCTCTACCGCCCCTCTCAACCCTCTCTCTCTCGCACTCCCCTCGCCCCACCAGCCTACGAGGCAGCGGGGCAGGCAGCAGGTGAGGCTGAGCGATCTGGACATGGGGGGATAGGGCATGACAGCAGGTGGTGTGGATATGGAGAGATTGCTTGCTAAAATAATGTGGCCATGATGTCTGCTCCGGTCCCTCCCTTCCCTCTCCCACATCTCCCCGGTCTCCTACATTCTGTCTTCTTCGTCACTTGCCCCGCAATGGTGTTTTGGTTCCGCACCTGTGCTTTCACCTGGGCTGCTTCTGTGAAAGTATGTCGTCCGTTCTACCTTAGAATCTCCCAACCCAGCCTTGGGTGCCAAACAACTGCATCCAACCCCGCGTTCCTGAGGTTCCCGCCTAGCTAGGTTGCCCCGCTATATAATCTTGCGCCATTCATTGTATCGTCAGTCCATGTTGTCACAGCTTTTGTAATTCGTTATTCCATGCAACTTGGAACTACCTGTATTAATTCACATGTTTTAATTTACCTCAAGAATTAGGCTGTGTTCTCGTGGCATTATTTCAAGCGCATCACTGGTGCGGAGCCTCGGTTTTCACCCACCTTCTCATGGATATTATCTGCAGGATGCAATGCCAACAATGCAAAAAAGATATGTCAAAGTTATATTTAAGATATATCCTGCTTGCTGTAGTTACTGTAGTTATAGTTCTTTGCTGTTGGTGGTGCACCTCTTGTTTGTGTTTCTCGACTATATCTTGTATGCTTTGCTTTAGTGAAGCTAACTTGTTTGGTCAATTTCTCTCGACACTCCCTTGGCCTTGACCTCGACAATAGCTTGGCCTAGGCTACTAAGCCTAGGCCCTCCTTAAACCCGGTTACCCGCTTCGATAGTGTTTTGACATGGTATAGAGCAATTAAAATCCTGACCTAAGTTAATGGGCCCACCCATTCGCGGCACGGCGCTCGCTGCGACGGGCGCGGCGGCGAGCTGGCCGCGTTTCCCTCGTTGCCAGCCCGTCGTTTTTTCCCTCGTCGCCTGCCCGTCGCCAGCCTGTCGCGTTTTCCCCCGTCGCCAGCCAGTCGCGTCCCCCCCGTCGCCAGCCCGTCGCGTTTCCCTCGTCGTCAGCCCATCGCTTTTCCCCCCCGTCACCACCTCTGCCCGCGCCTACGCCTGCAGCCGAGTTTGCGCGAGAGTGGGGAAAAGGGGGGGGGAGGCATCGCGAATGAAGGGGACAGCGTCCGTGGTGGACGTCGCGGCCCTTCCTCCCCCCGTCCATTTTTCTTCCCTCCCGTCGCCTCGCTCCGCCCGTCGCACTCCCCCGGCCCCCTGCCCGTCACCCACCCCGACGCGACTGTTCGCGTGTGCAGCGGCGGTCGCTGTGGGTGGGAGAGGGAGGAGGGGAAGGGATTGGTGGCGGAACTCTGTGGGGGGGAGTGGGAAAGGGGGAAGGGAGTGGCGGCGGAATGCTGTGGGGGAGAGAGAGGAAAAGGGGGAAGGGAGTGGCGGCGGAACACCAGCGATCACCGCCAGCACCAGCACCAGCTCCAGGGCCAGCCGCCAGCACCAGCACCAGCACCAGGGCCAGCCGCCAGCACCAGCACCAGCTCCAGGGCCAGCCGCCAGCACCAGCACCAGCTCCAGGGCCAGCCGCCAGCACCAGCACCAGCTCCAGGGCCAGCCGCCAGCACCAGCACCAGCTCCAGGGCCAGCCGCCAGCACCAGCACCAGCACCAGGGCCAGCCGCCAGCACCAGCACCAGCTCCAGGGCCAGCCGCCAGCACCAGCACCAGCACCAGGGCCAGCCGCCAGCACCAGCACCAGCTCCAGGGCCAGCCGCCAGCACCAGCACCAGCTCCAGGGCCAGCCGCCAGCACCAGCACCAGCTCCAGGGCCAGCCGCCAGCAGAGAACCCCACCAGCAGAGAACCCCACCAGCAGAGAACCCCGCCAGCAGAGAACCCCGCCAGCACGTAAAATTCGCAAACAACCACCTCTTTGTCAGAATGTATTTGCTGTCTAGCCTGCAGTGGGGTACTCTGTAATGAGTACAACCCAATTTAGGGTGTTGTACTTGTATCCCAACTCTTGCTAGTGAAACCCATTCCTCTCCTTCCAAACCTCTCGATACTTTTCCTAAACTCGAACTCAACTACCAAGGCTCCTAAACTATGGCTCCTAAGCCAAACTCACGCTAGGATTTTGATACTCTTCGTCTGCCCTACCCATAACGTTACCAACATAAGAAGACGAAGAAGAAGAAGAAGAAGAAGAAGAAGAAGAAGAAGAAGAAGAAGAAGAAGAAGAAGAAGAAGAAGAAGAAGAAGAAGAAGAAGAAGAAGAAGAAGAAGAAGAAGAAGAAGAAGAAGAAGAAGAAGAAGAAGAAGAAGAAGAAGAAGAAGAAGAAGAAGAAAACAAAAAAAAATCAACCTCCCCGAGGGTAAACTGAGCCAGTATTGGGTCCACCTTCAAACGTCGATGGGGGATGGTTATATCGTCCAAGGATCTAAACGGCTTGTTAGTTTTGTTTACGGTTAGTTGTCGGGTGTTTTTGCTAACCCAACACAAATTGGGGGGCTTCATGAAATTTTCCCGCATCTCTGGTACGGAGGCTGATTTGCCCTCGAGAGGGAGAATCGTTCCGCACCAGTGATGTGGACCTTTTCATAGGCGATGAAGGAACCACGAAACATGGCGCGGTTTTTTTATGCTTTAAAAACTGTTGTTTGCTGGAAATCTCTATTAAATTTATGCGCCCAGGTTCGGGGTGTTGGAATAACCGAAAGGTATTATAACATTCCCGAAGGTTCTCTCCTCACGCGCCACTTCATAACGAAACAGTGCCACTGCACCAGTACCGCAATAGCTCATGTAGAGCATGCGGGAGCTCGAAAGTCACCCGAAGGTCAACAGTCGAATTCAGTCAACGGTCGTGACTGTTGACCGTCCAGTAACCGTACTCGGAGGTTACGCGCTGCAACATGGTAACTGTCGAGTAGAGTAATAGTCGCGGTTACTGTAGCAATGTAATACAGTTAATAAGGGAATGTACCCCTCATAGTACCTGGCTAGCTAGATTGCTATTTATACGCTTTTACTTCTATCTTAATTTCATCTTGTTCTCTTTCAACTATTATTAACAAGGTCACTTCAAGACTTCATTGTCTTCCTATAACTTAGCATTCTTATCCTATCCACTACGATTCTCGGATTATATCGACATGGTATGAGAACTAGAGCGGGTTATAAGATCTGCCAAGTTCTTGTTCTTCCTAGAATAAACTCTTTATAAACTTATTCATTAACGCACCTGTTACAAGTGTGCACCACTATGGCTCCTGAAGGGAAAGCCACTGCAGACTCTCCGAGCCCACCCCCACCAACAACGACTAATGCGCCATCGGTGGTGACCTCCGTCAGCGCCGCACTCGTTGAGCAGCTCGTCGCTCGCATCAATGCTCTTGAGAGCCATCAAGCCATGATCATTGACGGCTCAAGCTACGCAAGAGGAATTGCCAGACTGCCTCTCCCAGGAGAGGACCGCCGCGTCAACTCCGAGAGATCCTTTACGTTTGACAACCGTCAAGGTTCAGCTCCTACACAAGACAGTCAACAACGCGCACAAATAGAGGCAATCGCAACCCATGCAAACAAAGTCCGTGTTGACCTCAAAGCTGAAAACTTCAACTCAATTCGACGGCAAGGATTTTTACACGTGGAGCTTCGAGTTTGAGCTCCTCGCAACAACGGCGCATATCTGGATGTACTACGACGGGAGCTTACCTTTTCTGTCGGAAGGAACCATCCAGGAGAAGAATCTATACAATGAGAAGAACAGCAAGCGGGAGAGGTTAGTGCTTTACACCGGAGCAACTGAAGGAGAGCAGCACGGAAAAAAAGTGGCCTTCTGCAAATACTGCAAGAAACCAGGTCACACCATAGACCGGTGCTACAAACAAAAGGCCGCTGACGAAAGGTGCAACAACTCACCTGGTCAACAACCCTCGGCGCCCTCCGCAACTCCAACCGCGTCGACGACGATGTCCCCACCCTCCGTCGCAAGCACTTCGCAAACTCCTGCACGTATTTCATCCACGGAAAAAAGGAAAGGGTCAGTCTTGAGCTGTATGGTGCGTCGCAGAGCCTTTCGCTACTACGACGACATTCAGTTTCCGCCAGATACGCCAATCGATCCAATCACACCAAGTCCAAACAACGACCCCACACTCTGTTCCTGGATCGACAGGCCGACAAACATCCCACATGATTTTGAACTGCCTCCAAGCACGCCGGAGTCTCCTCACAGCTTTCCTGCAAGAGACTACAGCGACCTCTCACCGTTCAGCGTTGACCGCGACCACATCATCACTCCTAAGATTGCCAGCATCGCACGACGAAGCCGCGGCAACTTTAACACCTGGTATCTTGATAGCTGCTATGGACAACACATTGTGGTATCACCAACATTCGTCAGTAACTCCAAGCGCATGCAACGATGCAAAATCACCGTCGCAAACAACAAGCGACTCAAGGCGTACGACATCGGGGAGATTTACCTGCAGTCGAACGACACCAACTTTACCATTCACATCCGAGATATGCTCGTCGTCGCCGACCTTCAGTTCAGCCTTCTCTCCGCTACGCAACTGATGAAGTGCGGAGTTGACATTCCAAGCAACTGCGAAGATAAAACCTTCGAATTATTTTACAAAAACACCTATACCGGCAAGGCGGTCGACGAAGATGGCGTCTTCGTCTTGAACTTCGCTTCACAAGGCACTACTGGCGACTCGCATAGGACTCTTCTGTTGAAGACGACGCCCATGGAGACTCCGACTTGGTTGCACCCTGCCAAAATGGATCTCGAACGGCCCACTTCAGACGGACTTCTTTGCTTAAACCTCTACTACTGGGGACACTGGACCTGCAACAATGGAACTTGAAGAAGACAGCGGGAAGTCAACAACTGCAGGACAAGCTGACAGTGGAGGATGGGGAGCAACTGCAGAAGCTGGCACCAGATGGGGAATAACAGGACTGGTCTCACCCAGCTGGGCCAATCCCAGTGCTACCGTCAGCGCTTGGGGAGTCGTCCAAACACCAGAAGAAGGAGCTGCTA